TCTTTTACAGCTTTTTCAGCAGCCTCCGCTTTTTCTGGAGACTGCCTACGCCTACGTTGTACTACGGCCTTGGCGGCTGGATCAATGGCGAGGTGGTGACAGGCGACCTCAGGGTCGAGTCCGGGCATCTCCACAGCGCTCCAGGCGAAGAGATCAGCATTCTCACGCAGACAGGCCTTGATTTGCTTCCTGGCCAAGTCAGGGAGGTCTTTGCCAATCTTCACTCCCTTGGTCGGGTCTGTGCCGAGGGGAACGAGTTCAAAATCCCCGTCCGGTATTGGTCAGAGTGGGATTTGCTCGCTGCTGGATGGCTCGTCCTGATCGAAGCGGGTGTCGAGGGCTATAGAGTCAACCTTTGGTGGAGCCTTCTGGACTTCTTCCTCGGGGGATGCTTTCCTGTCGGGCTCCTGTTTTGTCCTTTTAGCGGGTCTGGTCCCTATGTCGACGGTATCCCGTCCCTTGGAAGCAGCGTTGAAGCACCTACGGGCAGCGACTAGGTCTCCTTGGATGGTGGCTACCTGTGCCCTCCTGGTGTAGAACTTCATCTTCAGATGGACGGTCGACGGCACCATTGTTAGCTCTGCCAGTGTCGGTCTCCCCAAGATGCAATTGTATAGAGACGGGCAGTCAATGACGAGGAATCGGACCTTAACTTGTCTCGTAGCCGTTCCTTCGCCGAACGTTACCAGGAGCTCGACATAACCCCAAGGTTTGGAAGTCGAGTCGTTGAAGCCTTGTAGATCCGACCCCACATATGGAGAGAGATGTGAGTCGTCCAGCTGTAAGGTTCGGAACAGCTGGCTGTACATCACGTCGACGGAACTCCCCTCGTCGACCAGGATGCGATGCACGTCAAAATTGGCCATTCTTGCCCTTATCAATAAGGGGATGACCACGTTCGGGGCTCCGTCGGGGAGTTCTTCTAGATAGAAGGTGATGGGCTCTGACCTGCCCTTCACCCTTTCGAACGTTACTGTTTGCGGGGGAGCCACGTCGACCAGCTCGTCCAACTTCCTCTTAGCTGAATTGATGGTGAGGTCGTTGAACCCGTCCCCGTTGATGACCATGGCAGAGGGAAAGTATTCCCACCTGCTGTGCGTTGTCAGCGGCTCCTGCAGGTGCTCGGGAATGTCGAAATCCTCGAGCCTGGTTACCGAGAAGGCGGTCTGGATAGGCACCGACTCGTCTGATGGTCGGGCGTCTTCTTCTGGCTCCTTGGCCTCATGGGCGTCACGACGAGGAGCGTCGTTTCGCCTGTACTGCGCGAGCCTCCCTCCCTTGATGAGGGTTTCAATGGCGTCCTTGAGGTGGACGCAGTCCTCTATCAAATGACCATGACTCCTATGGTATTGACAGTATTTATTTTTATCCGCCCCTGGCTTGGCGGGAGCAGGTCGGGGACGCTTTACGCCACCGTCCTTGAAGTCTGTACTGGCACACTCCGCCAAAATACGCTCGCGAGAAGCTGTGAGCGGAGTGTACTCGGTGAAACGGCCCGAGGGGCCCCTTTGTTCTCGGACTTCCCGGGGTCGGTCTTCTTTCCTTTTCTCCCCGGTACGTCGGGGAGGAGCCTCTTGGCGTGAGCTGCTGCTGTTGTTGGGACCCCGAGTTCTGGAGTCTCGGGCCCTGTTGGCAGCTTCCCTCTCCTCGTAGTCCATATATGCTCGGGCCTTATCGAGAAGGACATCAAATGTCGGAGGAGGCTCGATACCCACAGCCTTTCTGAATTCTGTGCCGGGGAGGAGACCCCTCTCCAGCAAGTATCTTTTCATATGGTCCGCGCAGGGGACCTGTATCGCTTCTCGGTTGAAGCGGTTAATGAACTCCCTCAAGGTCTCATCCTGTCTTTGGATGATGGCCTCGAGGGCCGCCTCGGTCTTCGGATGGCGCCGAGAAGCTGTGAAGGAACTGATGAACTGGTTCTTCAGGTTCCGCCACGACGTGATTGAGCCCGGGGAGAGCCCTTTGTACCAGTCCATGGTCGCCTTCCTGAGAGTCGTGGGGAAAAGACGGCACTTGATGGGTCCCCCTACATTATGGTAATGGAGCATGGCCTCGAACCCGTCAATATGGTCGACCGGGTCCGCAACTCCGTCATACTCCTTCAGATGTGGGGGCTTCTCCATGCCCGGGGGGATGGGTGCATCCATGATGGCCTGCGACAGGGGACCGCGGGGGTCGTCCTCGTCGCTCCTCTCCGGAGACAGAGATGGGGACCTGTAGTATTGTCTGGCACGGTGGTCGTGCTGAGTTTCCCTCGAGCGTGATGCTCGGTGGTTGAATGTCACACGCCCGTCCCCGGCGTGTCTCTTGTCGTACCTTGCCGGGTCGCGACTAGGTTCCCCGGCAGGGATGGCGGGCTGTCTCTCCAAATAGGGGCGCCTTTGCTTTGGCCGGGGAGAGGGGCTTCTGGAGTTCTCCCTGTAGTGTCTCCGCGGGGGAGAAGGGTGTCGAACTTCTATGACCCGAGGAGGTGGAGAATGTGGCCTCCGATGCCTCCTCGGGGGTCTTCGGTCATCTTCAAGCGCCCTTAGTCTTTCTCCTTGGGCGAAGATGAGATAGTTTGTCTGATTGATGGCCGCGAACAGTGCCTGAGTCGTGGCGTCTGCCCCGGCGGGAACTGGGACTTCATGGAACCGGGCAGCTCTGTAATGAGCGAGGGCCGCCGGGTCGTCTTCAAGTGGTGGTGGGAGTGGGGAGGATGATGCAGTAGCCCCGTCCCTGCAGGAGGAAGTTCCAGGGGCAGTCGTCACGGGAATGATATTATGGTCGGGGTCGCCGGGGTTATCGAGGTGTCCGTTTTTGTCCGCCGTGCCGTTATTGGTGTCGGCGACACGGACGTTCTGCTCAACGCGAGCTGGATCAGCCATGACGGGTAGTTGAATTGAGCTTTGGTCTTTTGAGTTGTTTGTAAGACGGGGAAGCTAGTTTCCCACAGACGGCGCCACTGATCTGACCTGATCAGAAATGGACCGTCACGGCTGGCTCTGAGCTGAAAGCTTTTTGAACGAGGTGGGGGGGATACCTGCAAGGCACTCCGATGCTGAAGTAAGTAGAGGTACGAGCAGGCAATAATAAGTGTATGGGTAGAATGATGAATACCTGACCCTCTGGAAATAGAGGGTATTTATAGCCCCCAGCGCTGGGCCAAGGTTCCTTCATTGGGCCGGGCAGGTTTGGCCCAATGGAGAAACTGCCAGGTTCTACGTGCGTAGTGGGGACCCGCACGTGGTCCCCTTCCTGGATGTTCTGCGTGAAGTGCGGGCGGACGGAGACGCGGTCTTTTCGGGGTCTCGTTGGGAGCGCAGTGGACTGAATCTGCCCTAGTCGAGGTGCTCGAGGTGATGTCGTGCTGGACAGCAGGATGTCGAGCTGGAGGTGTAGAGATCGAGCACGTGACCTCAGGGAGCACGTCGGGCACGACTGTGACCCTTTGGTTGGCATGGTCCTCAACAAGTCCATTTGGATTGGACCTTAGCAATGCTTTTGGACCTGTCGGGGCCCAGTCCAGAACAGTAATAATGCAAAATAATGAAATTTTATGTGAAATAAAATAAATTTAATTAATTAAATTGAAACAAATGGTATTTTTGAAAATATATCTTTAAATTGACCTTGAATTTATTTGAAGATATATCAATGGAAATTTTACCATGGTCTAAGAGAAGGTACAAGAGTAAGAGAAATTCTAAAAATAAATAAACTAGATTTATTCTTATTTTTAAAAAAAAACTTAAAAATTAACTAAATTTATTCTTATTCAATGAAATTTATTTATTTATTTTTACTTATACTCGATGGAATGACGCAACCTCAATATTGTGCTCCCTAGTGGCTTCATGTGATCTGGTTAGTAATTTAAATTCATATAATAGAACGAAATTGAATTGTTTAAAAATTAATTATTAAAATATTCTTTAAAAATTCGTGATGGACAAAATTAATTCTAACAAAATTAAATTTGGTAAAATTGATTTTATCAGAATTGAATTTAACAGAATTGATTTATATTTGGATACATTTATGTAAAAATGAATTAAACAATAAATTTCAGTGTAAAAATCATCCAAAATCAATTCTAGAGACCGAAGCTACAATTCTAACCTCAAATTGAATCAATTCTTAAGACAATCAATTATAGAGGTGTAAGAATCAATTCTAAACTCTAGAATTATTTTTGCCCTTCCAAAAACTAAACCAAACATGCACTTAGAATACAAACTTTTGTAAAGAAAAAAATTTTCTTTACCTTTATAAGATAATTTTAACATTTATTTTATTCCAACATTTATGGTTTAACTATTTTTGCACTCATCTGCCCATTGCAAAGATCACAATCTAGTTGCCTGGAGCTCAAGACTTAGGCAAAATTTCCCTCTTCTTTGATTTGTCCCCTTATGCTATAAGGGAAAACACTAAAAAGTAAAAATATGCTTAACCAATGTAACAAAATTAAGAAACACTATAATTATTTTTTATTTTTTTTCTACCTCGCAAAACAAGACAAAAACATAAGATAATTAGTGCATATAGTGACTGATGCTCCTGTGCTTATGAATTCATATTGAGTGCATAGTGATGAACCACATAGCTTCTATGGATAGTTTTACCTTTTACCACTTCTTTTACAGTGACAAGATTTCGACCTGAGTTTTGTCAGCTAATGTCAAACAATATTTGAAATATGCAGATATCTCATTTGTTCCTAATGTGAAACATTCCTTGACAAAACTAATTGTTGATCTAGAATCTCATCATCACTACTATATTAAACATGCAGATATCTCATCATTACTTTAGAAACTACCATAACAATATTTGAAAACAGTGCAACAAATTAACAGTAAACTGCTACCCTAACAATAAACAAAATGGGTTTTCAAGATTTTAGAGGGAAAGAGAACTTCCCAATGGTATTTGCTTCCAGTCCTCGAATTCCTACAGCCACTCAAGTTCAGTGTTCATGTCACAAATGACCATCCACTGTATGATGCTTGTAATCAATCAATCTTCACAGAAGAGTAGATCTTGCGGACAAACCAAAAGCATGCGTAGAATCCAATAGTTCCAGTCACAACAAAGAAGGCATATGAAACAATAATCATATACCCAAAGTAAAGGATGCCTGAGACCAGCTTTGTAATCTCCAATTTGGTAAAGAAGTAGAAAATTGAGTAAAGGAAAAGGTAAACGGCTGATGACCCGGCAGTGAGGTAAGATCTCCACCACCAATTGTAGTCTTCACTGCACAACTGGAAGTAGCAAAGCACGACCGTAATCTCTGCACACGTAATCAATAGGATGATGAACACTATGAAAAGGAAGCCAAAGATGTAGTAGAACTGGTTCAGCCATATTGATGTCAGGATAAAGAAGAGCTCGATAAACACTGCACCGAAGGGAAGAATGCCACCAATCAGAATTGAGAAGACAGGAGTCATGTACCATGCCTGCTCAGGTACCTGCCTCGGAATTTTATTAGTCTTAACAGGGTCTTCAATTGCTGGCTTTTTAAAACCCAGGTAACTGCCCACAAAGACCAAGGGTACCGATATACCAAACCATAAGCATACTAGAGCAATCATTGTTCCAAAGGGAACTGCCCCAGAGGACTGCTCCCCCCAGATCAGAGCATTCAACACAAAGAAGATGGCAAAAAGAATGCCCGGAAACATAAACGCAGTTTTTAAGGTATTCCTCTTCCACTCTGTGCCCTTGAACATCTTGTACAAACGCGCCGAGGAGTAGCCAGCAAATAAACCCATAAAAACCCATAGTAGAACCATTGCAGTCATGAGACCTCCCCGATTAGATGGAGACAAGAACCCTAGCAAAGCAAATATCATTGTCACAAGTGTCATTCCAAAGATCTGAACACCAGTACCAACATAAACACAAAGCAAATTTGAATTGATTGGGGGCCTGAAAACATCTCCATGAACAAGTTTCCACCCTGTTTCTTCTTGGGCCTCATCTTGGGTTTCTAGCTGGTTGTAATTGGCAATGTCTCTGTAAAGAGTTCTCATCATGATCATTGCCACCATTCCAGAAAGGAAAAGAACAATCATCAGAGAGTTAATGATGGAGAACCAGTGGATCTGATCATCATTCATTAGAAGATATGTGTCCCACCGTGATGCCCATTTGATGTCACTTTCCTGAAAAAGTACCACCAATCTTAGCTCATAGTATCATATAATGGATGGGGTGGAAATTGATTTGTAGCCAATGTTTTAACCAGCAATACCTTAAAGGAAACATCATATGTGAAAACTATATCTTTGTCCGTATCAACTTCTTGTGGCACAGTACTACCTTGCAACAAATTCTTGGTATCTTTATTGCAAGTTGTTACCTGTGGATTCTTGTCATTCCACTCCTTGTATTCATGATTAATACTGTTCAGTTATAGAACTCATGAGAGAAATTCAAGGCATGAGAAAGAGGATACGGGTAACTAATAGCTGATATGTATGATATCTATGACATTGTTTAATATCTTCAATATATATATATATATATATATATATATATATATATATATATATATATATATATATATATATATATATATATATATCACAACAAAGGTAAGATAAGATCTATTAGAGAACTAGTCACATGATCTGTTCATTTGCATTGTTAACATCCTATTCTAGTTCCAGATGTAAAATATGATATAACATGGAACAACAAAATTCAAACATGTGATGCTAAATTAAGAATGTAACACCCCCTAAGCAGAAAGAGGGATAAGGAGAAAAGAACAAGACCTGTTTGGTGTAACCTCAAATCCAACAATACGAGCAGAACCAGTTTCAGGGTCCTTGTGATACATGACTCTAAAACTCAAGTGGTTATTGATAAAATATTTCTCCTCCTTGCTCTATATGAAATTGGAAATTCTAAGAATTAGGGAGACTAAAATGTTACTAGAAATTTTATAATAGAAGCAATTCCTGAGTTAGTGAGTTATACCCCTTGATATTTTCCTTTGAACCCAACACGAAAACCGTGTTCATATGTTGTAGATTGACTTCCATCCCTCCTTTGTCTAAGAACAGCAACTGGAAGGTTATCCAAAACCCTGCAAGTTCAATTCAAAGCTTTAAGGCTCAAGAGAATAAGAAGCAGAAAAATATAGCCAAGCCAGAAATCGGCCAACAAATTTTACAAAAGTAATTTAATGAAACTCAAATTCATACTACATAACTACGCACCAACTTCAATATATTCATCACTTACATGTTCACTCGATATTCATCATCAATTTTTTCTTTAAAATTCTTTGCAGATTCAGCATCCAAAGGTTGATGACATGTAACTGTACAGGACTGCTCCTTCCTCATATGAAACTAAAAAGAAGAAGAAAAAACAAAATCACTTAGGTTAACATTACAAAACAAAACATCACTCTCACTGAATTAAAAGTTATCAATGGATAAAGGATGAGGTAACAAATGCCCACCGTATACATTGAGTTTTCAATGCGATCACCTCGAAGAACCTCTCCCAAATTTTCTGCACTGTTCACAATCTTGGAAGGTTTGCAATACTTCAAGTAATAGTAGTCATAAGGAAGCTGAGTCTTTGTGGATGACAATTTGTTCACTTTGACATAGAGATCATCCCCCTGGTCCCACAAATGAACTAATAAATCAACATCTTCAAGCCCATGTAATAATAGGAATTTCTCAATCCACTCCTAAAACTCAGGGGTTGGATTCATCGAAGCATCTTTCGGTAGCATATTATGGCAGATTTGAGCATATAACGGGTGTATTGAGAAACTCCCTGAAGTAATACTATAAACAAAACAAAACAAAACAGAAATAGAAATAAAATGTTTTCTAATTCAACCAAACCCTCCAAAATGAAAAAGGGTACACACTACTACTATGTTTTCTTTCTTCTATTTTCTTCCTTGAAATGAAATTTTTTTCACAGTTTCACCACTCATCATCACCACTATGAAGCACGGACACCCAAAACACGGCCCCGACACTGACACGACGATACCGATAATAATTTTAAAAAATAAATTAATTAAATGTAATCACAAGTGACCGAGCAGGTGTCTGACACGGACACACTTTTTTCAGAGGTGCCTCTGCTACAAATATCACATTTAAGGAGAAGCTTAAAAGCAGAAAGAGTAAGATTCAAACAGCAATTAAACAGCACCAGAACAGCTAATTGTGTTTGGTTCGGTGTTGCATTATATCATAATTGATTTTATCTTCAACAATTTACATTAACGATAAGTTACAAACGTGCTTCCAAAGTAAACAAATTAAAAACAAAATTATTCCAATACAAATCACTCCGCTTAAAATTCAACACTATAACCAAATCAATTATACAAAACCTAAATCATATTCAAACCAAACACAAGTTAAATCTTCATGACATAAAATCGAGAATCAAATAAAAATATAGAACAACGATTCGACGCAGATCAGAGCTAAAACCCTAGATCCAAGCAAATTTAAAAGCGATATACAAAGGATGAAACGACATAGCGTAGAAATTGAAAGGTGAAGGAAAATGGAGAGGTGAAATGGAAAACATACGGTTTGGAAATCGCGAGGAGCAACGCCGGGAAGGTAGAAGGAATGGACGGAGGAGATGAGGAGGAGGAGAGTGGTGAAGAATACGGTGGTTGAACGGACGGAGACGGTGGTGCGTCCCATCTTCTCCTTCATCTGAGGTGAGAGAAAGAAAGAGAGAGAAGAATGAAAAAAATATGAAGAAATTCAATTAGGTGAGTATGTTACTTGCTTGGTTACTCTAACTCAACGCACTAGATAGGGACATGATATTCGTTCATTAATCGTTGTAGTGAATGTTAAAACAATTCTAATATTAATTTATGAAAAATATATTAGTGTATAATTGTTTTTCTAATTAATGATATAGTATTAAGAAGAAAAAATAGAACCATTGAAAAATACTTAATTAATACGAAGAATATTTGTTTTGTAAAATAATTATAATTGATTTTGTAATAAATAATACATTATGATCATGAGTTTGAATCTGCCCTCTAACACCTAATATTTCTGCACATAAATTATTATAAATTATTGTTCAATGAGACACATTTATATAATTGTAAGTTTGATACTCAATTTCTTCATCAAATACCTAATCTTATATGGGAGGTCAAGATATTTATACCTTATCCACTATCAATATATAAAATATATAAAAATTAATTACTGACATAATTACATCATTGTCTAACTAAAAATATTTTAGAAGACTAATTTCATATTCCAATTTATAATTATCGTTTCTCTAACTTTCTGAATTTAAATACTTTTGAATATTTTGAATATTTAAATGATTACTTTAACTATAATTGTTATAATTACTTGTCATGCTTCGAGATCTAAAGGAATTTTATTGAAGTTATTATTTTCTCCATAATGATTTATAATTAAATTTGATTTTTTTTTGTACATTTAATAATTAATATATTTAGTCTATATATAGACTAAATACATTAATTGTCAAATGTATTAAAAAAGTTAAATTTGTTTATAAATTGTTATAGAGAGTGTATCTTCTCAATACAATTAGGAAAAAGCTAACATGTGCTCCAAGGGGACAAGTTAGTAAGTTATTTATAGAAATGTTTTTCTTGAATACATGCATTCAATATTTTGAAACTTTAAATATGACTTTATTATATTTAATTATATTTAAATTTTCTAATTATAATATCATTAACATGTACCTTTAGAACACATGTTAGCTGGACCCATAAAATTATCTACATTTCAAACCAAATAAATGAAACAGGTATTAATCTTTTCATTTCTTTCAAAAGCGTAACAATTTCACTTGGGACCAAAAGGAAAATCGGATAAAGCAAGGTAAAATCTTTTCATATCATCAATTTGAAATTTGTTAATGATATTATTGTTCTTCCTCTTCGTCCTATTTAAAAGTTTGGCGGCCATGTTGTTGTTCTTACCTATCTTCAAGTTGTTGCGATCTGATTTAATAAATTCTAGCAAGAATTATATGATGTCATGAAGAAGAAGAAAATTGTTATTCATGGTGTTGTTGTTCCTTTCAATCTTCCCAATGCTCTTCGTCATAACTTTCAAATGGGACAAAAAATCATTAGGTAAAATCAATATAAAATTTATGTTTTCATGAATTTAAAATTTTTTAATGATTTTATTTTTCTTGCTCTTTGACATTTTTAAATGTTTGTGAGTCATGTTATTGTTCTTCTTTAACTTCAATTTGTTGCAAACTAATTTAATAAAATTTTGTAAATATTGTGTGCTATCACAAATCATTGATTCCTTAACAACGTTGTTTGTACCCTTTCTATATTTAAGAAAGTTTAGTATTAAATGTTTGCATTTATAAGACATGGATTGTTTATTTGAAGTATTGTTTCATTACAAACTGTTACCATGAGAAGTTTTAAACTCTCAAGTTAGTTAGTAGTTTTGAACTCGTGTGTTATTAATGTTTATTCATTTTAATTTTGCACATGCACACTGTTGTATCCTAAAATTTACTCTCTCTTTTCTCAAGACATTTCTCACAAAGATCTTCAATAGTTCAAGCTTACACAAGTATTGGTTAGGTCAATCGGGTTTGGATTTTTACAAGGACAATTGGACTTCTAATGCTTCAATTGACTTTCATGGATCATTATGGACCTTCAAGAGTGCTCATATCAAGTTTCAAGTATTGCATCTCAAAATTGCTCAGTCAATTGATGAAATGATCCAAAATCAACTATATTGGGTAAAAGTCAATTGTAGTCAATCTACAGTCAAATTTCAAGATTTTTGACCAATATCAACTTTTTGAAATCATATGTGTCAATTGATCAAGTTTGGATCACAATTCCCCAAGAAAAAATGTTCAAATCATCAAAAGGGCAAAATGGTAAAAATTAGGGTTTTGGCTGTATTTGACTGATCAAGGGTTTTTGACCTAATACATGATCTAATGGTTTGAAGCACAATCTCAAGGATTCAAATACAACATGTTGACCTAATTTTATGGCTCGAAACATGTCTCAAGATCAATTGACTAATAGTTGAAATTCAGTCAACTGATGAAAAGTCAACTAATGCACCAAAAGTCAAACTTTGATTTTTTTGATTAAAATTGAGTTTCAAAGATCATATTTTATCAAGACATTCAAAAATATGAAACTTTATCATTAAGAAATTCAAAATTTATCTTAAAAATTCAAACTTTTCAAGACTTAGAATTTTTCTATGTGTATTTAAGTCTTATTTTTTCACAACTTCATACCAAAATTTCACCAAGATGCAACATAATTCAAGAAAAACTCCCAACATGAAAGTTGTAGATCTCAAAGATATATAAAACTTTTTAGAATGGAACAAGTTCTACAAATTATTTTATTTTGAGTTATAGATTCACAAAGTCATGCATTTTTTATAAAAACACTTAGTGAAAATTTGACTAGTTTAGGCAGATTTTTTGACCTAACTTCATGGTAATTTTTCACATGGTTCCAATTGGATTATTCAAAAATGAAAAACCTGAAGGTTGTAGAGGATGTTACAAGATTTCCAAAATGTCCAATAACTCATTGAGATCATTCTTGAGTTAAGAGAATTGAAGAGATTAAGTTAGAGTTTCAAACTTGAATTACAAGTCAATTTTGTGATGAACACTTGATCAAATTCATAGCCATGTTGCATAATATTTGCTTTGCCAGTCTCAAACTTGTGTTTCACTCCATAATTAATGGTTTACACAACTGATTGAGCCGTTATTCAATTGATTCAAGCATTATCCAAACCAATTGCTATTTTGGGAAGAAAGTAACCATTACATTCTTGTAAAGATCACTTTAATCACAAAGTCAGCTTCTTGAGCCTCTAACTTGTTTCTTCTACACACTCTTTACCTACTAGGACATAAGAAACATGTTTAAAGTGTTCAACCACTCTAGAGGGCCTCGTACAAGCATTAGAACCATGTCCATCAATGTTGCTTCAAAAACAAGGCAAATCCACAAACATATGATTCTTGATTTGTGGCTTCTCCAAGCATCCAAACTTCTTGATTATAAATAGAGACACTATTTGTGAGCTAAAACACGAATGTACAAGTCCTAAAACACCCTGAAACTTCCAGAAACTCAAAATTGCAACACAAGCACAAAAACTTATCATTTCAGACATTAAAACTCAATCTTCAAACCTACTCGTGCGTTTTCACTTCTAATTCATCACAAAGCTTCTAATACACATATAAAGGCTATTACAATCCCTATTTTCAAACTGTAACATCATTTTCTTCTTCCTCCATTACCAAAAACAGAGATTTGCAACCTGACTTCTCCAGGCCATTTCAACCACTCTCAGCTCGAGCTAAGCATTGCATTAGCTTCTTAGGGACTTAAGGAAGCTAACTTGATCATTGTAGCACCTTGAATCAAGCTCATATGCAAAGCATGAATTTCATTTTTGAGGTAAGTTTTCTAAATTTTGAAATCTTCATATAGGAATTGTTAGCTTTCCATTTTCAAAGATAAAATATAGACATCTTTGCCCTGAAGCTGACCATGTTCTTAGAATTCATTTATATTGCTTGAGTAATTAAGTTTAAAATCTCTGAAAAAAGTTAGGTCAAAATTTGGTACCATTAAAAATTTTCATTCATCTTTGATTTATAGCTTTAGTTATTTATATTTCTGGAATCGTGATGAAATTTTACACAACTTTCATGTTTACATTTTCCATTTTGGTTGAGAGATGAAGAAGTTACAGGTTTTGAAAATTTTGTAAAACTTTCTAGCGCGAGGAAGAAGATGATACATACCATGGACTTTGTTTAACATATAATATGATGGTTTGATATTAATACACGGATGTATCACCACCCCATTGGTTAAAGTGTGTGTATGTTACCTCTTGGACCTGGGTTCGAGCCCCATTGTTCGTTTTGCAATTTTCACATTTCTCACTTCTTCTTTTTTTTTGTTTCAGGCGCGTTGGGCCCTGCTTCTTTGGGCCAGACTCATTTTTACTTAACAATATCCCCCTGTCTCATACATGCTACACAACTCATCTCATTTTTTTTTTGCTGATTACAAAAATTACCTTTGGGCCTAAAACCAAACAAAAATTGTTTTACTCTAAACTCCCAAATTCAATTTCAGACCCCCATGACTTAATTTTTTTTTATTATTTATTTCATTTTCTTTTCTTTATTTTTATTATTAATAATATTATTATTATTATTTTTATTAAATCAAAAATCCCAAAAAAAATATATTTTATATTTTATTTAGAATATTTTAGTATTTTTATTTTATTTCTTTTAAAGCAAAAATACCAAAAATATATTTCCTTATTAAATTTAATTTATTTTCTTAATTAAATCATTTAGACTTATGTTTATTTAAATCTTTATTTTTATTTAATCAACTTAGAACTTAGGAATTTTTATTAATTAATTTCTTGTTTTTATCAACACTAAAAAACTTTTCATAAAAACCATAAAAATATCTGTTTTCTTAATTATCTTACTTCTTCTCCTTAATTAATTTAGGTTTAGTTCTTTTAAGGTAATATAGACTAATTAATTATTTTCTTTTTTAGTTTAATTAGGTTAAACCCTTTCACAAAAATCCAAACAAAAACAATTTCATTTTTTTCATATTGCCTTTACATTCTTATACATTATT